TATCTGAACGACATAATTATATATCAAATGGATTTTTATTCTTATGTATAAGGTTATATATTCAATACAAAAGAAGCCTGTCGTAAATGACGAAAACTCATCTTCCACTATGACATCAAAAGACAACCGAGGACCCGTGAAGATCTTGGGTTGTCTTCAGCAACCCATGCTTGTTGTAAAAGTTGACTGCTTATCGTAAGAGGCGACTAACGGGATCGGGTGGTCAGGCTCGCTGACTTGGTTGATGCATGTCATCGTATCCAAAATCATGATGGTCCAGTCTCGATTATTTACAGACCGCCGCCATATAGCTGCAATATTGCTGAGTGAGGCGTTAAACAACAAACAGCAGAAGGGTTACAGACGGACAAGACAAGGGGGCATAACTCCGCTAAGCTTAGAAATAGTTTATTTAACTCAGGTCATTTGGTGAGAATTAGCTTTGGATAAAGACAAATATATTTGGTATTTTGTTCACGAGGAACAAAACTACTCCAGCACAAATATCGCTATTGAAACTGTATACGTAATGATGAAATCGTACTTCCTATAAAAGGAAGTAATAATGAAATGGATGGCCCTATCAAACCTATAAATTATTCTTTGGAATCCAACATTCTCCTGATTGTGCAAGTCTAATTTGACTGAGGTTGTACCATTGTTAATGGGACAATAGCCCAATCATCAAATGTAATGAATTACTGAAGAAAATGACACCATGACCCGGTCTTATGACTTTGACAACGGACGGACTTCTTGTAATGAAGGTCAACTCCGTCATCTTGCCGATACCGACGCCTCCTAGAGGGCGCAGCTTTAACTTTGTTAGGCGTCCTTGCAAGTTTGTAAAGAATTTGATTGGAAGATGATGAAGTATCTGGTCCAGTCTTCACTTTGGGAGGCAGATCTGGTTTTTGAGGACTGTATTCAGAGCACGCCCTGTCTGAAGCCGAAGTGTCCATGATGTAGTTGTGGTCCGCCGGTTTGATGAACTTGTGTCCCTGTACTGACCTAAGCTTTTTGGCGGAAGCGAGTTCAGATCTTTCAGGATCGCCAGGACTGCTTTTAGGTGTCGACCTAACGTCAGATGCTGGTGAGTACATGATGTAGTGGTAGTCATCTGAATCTATTCCTGATTCTGTCTTATTTGGCCCAGTCTTTACTACGAAGGACTAGTTTCAGGGGTTAATACAGAGTTAAGCATCGCTTACTATATATTTCCTATAGCCATTTGTTAAAAAACAAAATAAACCCTCTATACTGTATAAACTTTCCCACCATCACATTGGTTTATATTTTCAAAGTAACATACTCCACGACTAATGACTTGCTTTGAAACTGTTCCATGACAACTGCTATTTGTCTACTCATTAAATTGTTCCTTCTGCTTCTTGGCATTACATATGTCAGACCCAACCTGTGAAGATCCGGGGAAGATTAGGTCTTCAGCAACCCATGCTTGCCGTAAAAGGCGACTATGCTTGTCGTTAGAGGCGACTCGCGGGATCGGGTGGTCAGACTCGCTGACGTGGTTGAAGCATGTCATCGATCCCAATTGCGTGGATCGATGCTCATGATGTCAATCACTTGATTGTCTGGCCCAGGCTCGATTATTTACAGACCGCCGTCATATAGCTGGAATATTGCTGAGTGCGGCGTTAAACAACAAACAGTATGTGTGACCATCTGGAGAAGAATACAGTGTATTCTTGAGAAAGATATATGATTGTCGTAAGAGGCGGCTAAAAGGATCGGCTGGTCACGTTCAGTGACTAGATTGATTGCATACTATCTATTCAAATTGCATGGATCGATGCTCATGATGTCAATCACTGGATTGGCTCATCTAGACTGGATCATTGCACTTATTAGTTATGGGTTTGAGAAAATCACATAGGGGCATGAGGATGAGTAACTGTTGGAAAGATGTAAACTTACTATCGTGGTATGTATAATGTCCATGGTATGTGTACATACGAACTAGATAAATAAGTATGAGGATATGTTTTAAAACAAACCTAACTGTAAATTAATACACTAAAAACGTTTGTCTTTGTCGCCGAAAATTATTGGAGGGAGAACAGTACAAGGGGATGAGTAAACGTTGGGAAGATCTAAACTAACTATAGTGGTATGTGTACATACGAAGTACATAAATAATTATGAGAATATGTTTTAAAACAAACCTAACTGAACATTATGACACAAAAAACGTCAATGATTGTCCCGGACACTGATCAAAAGGAAAAAAAAGGTCTGCCACGGGGAGGGGCGGTCGGGTAGCCTAGTGGTTAGAGCGTTCGATCGTCACGCCGAAGACCCGGGTTCGATTCCCGACATGGGTACAATGTGTGAAGCCCATTTCCGGTGTCCCCCGCCGTGATTTTGCTGGCATATTGCTAAAAGCGGCGTAAAACCATACTCACTCACTCTGCCACGTGAGTGAGTTGAGTTGGGTTTAACGCCACTTTTAACAGTATTCCAGCTATATCGCGGCGTGTCAGCTTAATGTGGGAGGTAAGCCCGAAGTGATGCAGGTCTCAGACGTTTACCACTTCGATGAACGGGTATGGTGCTGACAAACCTAGAAACATAATCGGGGCGAACCGGGATTCGAACCCACAATCATAGCTAGGTTTCTGGCGTGCCCAAGGGACGCAACTCTGCACAGCGAATCGCGGCGCCTGAGACGACTGGGCCACCCGTGCCCCCCACTCTGCCACGGGGAAAGGCGGGAAACGCTGACGGGTAACTCTTATAGGGAAGTATAGTTCATGGTTATTAAAAAAATACACACTCACAACGTTGTCAGTTTAATTATGAAAATGTCGCATGCCTCCACCGATCTAGTTCATAACAAATAACATTAAAATAATGTAAATAAATAATGTAACTATTACTTGAAAAGATTAATTATGAAAAAATATAAATTAAATTTACCACTGTAGATGCACAAAATAGTTTTATGCGAATTCCATTCTTTCAATTATTTAAACATGTATGATGTATACCACTATGATTGTGTCAACTTAATACATGTTGTTCCTTGAAAACAACAAATGTTTTGAGAAGTCATTGTTGTTTTACTAGGTTTTTTTTCAAGATTGTTTTTAAAAAATATTTTTATAATACATATGCATTAAAAATCAAAAGTGTCATGTTCTCATTCCTGATTCTGAAGGTACCACATGCAAATTAGAATTTGTTTCACCTTCTGCGTTACAAAAAAGAAAACACAATAGAGTGTTCTTGTACCATCATTTCACCGGGTATCGGCGGTTATTTATATATCGACCAAAACATATGAATGCCATATATGTAGATATTTCCAAACACATGGCGCTGTTCGGGAGATAGGAACATAAAGAGGGGAACGGACATGCAATCAAACTCTGGCTTATCCCAATGTATGCCAAAATGCTAAGTTCAAGTTTAAAGGGTCTAAATGATCAGGAACAACGCTTCCGTATTTATTCGTGCGAGGGAATTCCCAGGGTTTTCCCCAGGAATGTGGAAGTAGTCCCTCAGCGTTTACGTCATTTCAAGAACACGGTCTCGTGAAACGTCAAACTGCGTGGTTCATACACTCTTGAACTTTATTTTCGCGGTCATGTAACCGACCTATCGTCCAATGGAAAAGCCGTATATCGTGTAAACTTCACATCTAAAAGTTATCGAACCATAACATTACGGTGCAGTGTACGGATTGGTCAGTGTGGCGTGTTCATGGCACTCTCCTACCCAGAGTTCCATGCGGCCGGCAGCCAGCTAGCATTATGCTGAGTCACCACTGCGACGGAGTGTGTGTTCATGGCAAACAGTACATTTTCAGAAGACAATATATCTTGCTATACAAAAATAAGGCGTTAAAAATGAAGAAGAGTATTTTTGTGCTTACCTGGACGATGTCCTATCTCTTTGTGTGGAATAGTTTACTGCTTAAACGTCTAAAACACGAGAGCGGCTTGTGTTCAAGCGGGGTCGCAGAACAATGCTGCTATGTGATGAACTTTGAACTATGACGTCACTATACCATGACGTCATTGCGTTATGTAAACGTTATGGTTCGCCATTTTTTTCAAGGGGACGTGTCGCGTTCCTGTTTTTGAAGGGACAGTGTGCTAATGTCCTCTCCTGGTGTTCCTAGAAGTCATATTGCAATAAATTATATAACATTAGAGTTGTTTCCCTTTCGGCAAAGTAGAACAAGCTCCTCACAGCAACACACCGTTCGCGGAGCTCTGTGTCATATGCTTGGAGCTGTCTCGGAAGGAGCTTGAAAATAGCACACAGAACTCCATTCGAGTACGTCCACCTTCCGTACTCGTAATACAGAGAGCACAATCACAATGTATAACAGCGAGGAACTCGTAACTAACAAAATGTGTGTGCAATGTATACAATCGTATACACACTAAGCTGAGCACACGAGCAGCAAGGCAGATGAAGCAGCACAAGCTCCATTCCAGCGCGTGCCACCTTCGGTACGTCAAATACAGAGAGCGCAGGGCACGATATATCGCTGTGTGGACCTCGTAACCAGCAAAATGTGAGTTCTTTGAAATGTGCACATTCGGATATACACTAAGCTAAGAAGCTCTAAGCAATGCGGTAGCTGCAGATGAGTTTCATAACCCATGTATACGTGTGATGACGTTTTAGATCTGCACCGCTGATAACAGTCAACGAGCGGCAAGGCAGACGAAGAAGTGACATGGAATGCTCCCACTGATATAGATCTAGTCCTGCACTATGACTGTGTAATATATAAAATTTACAAAAACAAAACCAATCTAAGAGCGAGAGTGAGAGTCCACAGTAAAAAAATAAGGGACGCCACATGACGGTGTATCTCACTCAGTCAAGCGCTAAGGTTGTTTTGTACAACGACACCCAGAAATACTGGAGGGACTAGACAACGTCTGGAATTCTCAGCTCCCTCGGGAGTTTGAACCAAAATTAACTTCCGACCAGGAATGGAATAAGAAAGACTGCAGAAGTTCAAAATCAAAATCAAATTTTTATTCACAAAAGCTGTAGAAAATACAGGTATGTGTTTCATTCACACTTGCACAAACAGACGAGCCGGAGCATGTACAGGGGATCCACTACAACAGGAGCACAGACAAACACTGTATTTGGCTGATATGTTCACTCATGGCTCAAAATATTTTTCATATGCTATTTTCTTTCTACAATACAATAATCCTTTATGTCAAAATTCCAGTATTGTTACATTTCAGGAACTACTATTATCTCTTGAACATACCACCTAAATACTTGACTGCAGCAAAACTACCACATTTTAATATCCTTATATATTTGAAGATTAAAGATAATTATTGTAACAAATCAACAGGTTAGATAACGCTGGATAACAAACTCCTCTGTGACTACTAAGCGGACATGTATTTATTGTTATGACTCAGTCATTGTTAAAATCACTGATACAAAAAATAATCAAACATTAATTAAAATTGAGATCAGATAGATCATGATAATATTATGTTATAAAGCTATCAATAAAATGACAACACAATTCTCTTGAAAATTGGTAACATTTCATATCGATTAAACATTGTTCAGTAAAATGTATCTTATGCACTGACATATTTTGATTGGTTGAGCTTGAATACATTTTGAATTATGCTAATTTACCTCTATCACCAATCTTTATATCAGAGAAACTTCTTTATACATATACTTTTACCTCGTCCAAGCTTTTCAATCACATTGTAAACAGACTTACTGGCTCAAACTAGAAATATAATTCTACAAATACAATGTTCATTGTTGTTGCTTTGAAATATCTTCAATCTGTGCATTTGTTAAAAAGGAAATCTAAATCATCCCAATCCTGAATGAAAACTGAAGCCTATTGAATGATTTCTTCCAGGTTTGAAAATTTGCATGAAGTCTCTAGAGTTCTGGCAATCAGAGTGACAACATTCTTCCGTCCAGCCATTCCAGCAATGAAGAACTTAAGTAACAAAGGCAGCAGAATATGCTTTAAAAGACTCTCGCTACATCAGATGTTTTCAACTCTGATTTATCTCCCCTGGTTTGACCATCAATTTGAAAAGAATTCTGGGCTCTACTTCACAAAGACATGAACTGCTGGATTTAAGCACTGACAAATGCAAAATATCATATAACATCCACACACAAAACTTGAAATTTTCTTACTTGCAACGGAACGAGCTGAATGTGACAACACCACTAGAAGCGGGCAGTTATACATGGGGAACAGTATTTTCTACAGCTGGTCAGAGTCAAGCCTGAGCAACACAGGAAGTATGTGTCACAATATCTATTTATTATAGGACCAAGTCTAGGATGTGGCACATTATCATGTTAATCATGTACAGCATGCATCGCACTGGACTTGAGGAGATGGTCGCTGACGATACAGGGGGCTTCAGCATGGAGACGGCCTATCAGCCAGTCACCTGAGCCTCTTGATCATCAGCTCACACTCACATATGTATGTTACCTCTCGATAAAATAACTGTTAGGTGAAACACAGACTACCAATACTGATGATACATAGACTATCACATTTTGATTAAAATTAATAAACCCAAACCCTGCAATTGAGAGGTATATATATTTCAAGGTGATTTCTGAAAATCAGACTTTAAGGAGCCTTTATCGAGAGAAACTGTGTCAGTACAAGGTTGAAAAGACGACTTTTAATTTTTCAAGACTCCCTGTGACAGTAATAAAGTTCAATTTCAATTATAATTTAATCTCAATTCCGGTGCAGAGCCTCAAAGTCCTACATCCAAATGTTGGGTGATACTTATTCTTGCTGATGAGTCTATCTAGATTTCTCAAAAGTGTACAAAAGACAAAACTACAAACATTGTGGATCCAAACAAAAGCAGGTTGAATTAGACTTTTTAGGAAAATATATAGATCTTCAAATATATTTTATTTAAAACAAATAACCTGAATTCTGAGATCATAACATTACACTGCCTGTCTTCTTGGTAACTGAACACCTATCAAACCCAGTTTGTTGGCTTTGAAAATGTTTTAAACAAGAACAGAATTGTCTGGTCCATAGGGTTTCCTTGTTTGTCAAACATAAGCCCTCGATCCTATTGTGAATCAAACTAAACCAGTGACTTACAGATTTGTAACAACTCTCTATACTTATGTTATCCTTTCAAAATGCCTGAAATGTAAGCTCCCCAACCCTATCCTCGTGTCGAGTCTCTACACTTGCCACGTACATATATTTAAGGCTTAGGAGACGGTTAGTCATCAACTTGATGATAAACATCCAGTGATAGTTACAGCTCAAACGACACAGGTCGTTATCGAGGACATGTGTACACATGGCAGCGGGATCCGCATTGTATACACAACATATATACTGGAGATCGATCACTCGGACTCAAGAACATAGAGGTTTAACACTCAAGTGACATAACTACCATTTGTAATATACAAATTGTTTGATAATTGTCAAGTCTAAAGCCAGCCAGCAACATGATATTAACATAAACATTTCAGTATAAGATAATATGTTTAGTTTGTCCAGAGTTAGCTTGGAACATTTCTATGCCACATTAATCAGTTGTAATATCGTGACAAAGGCTACAGATGCAGTTGTCAAAGCACCATGCTCTAACTAGATGATTGGTACAACTAGCTACAGGTTGTTGTCCATCGCTAATATATCAACAAATGGTTATATAGAAAATGGAATGTTTTAATTTTTTTTTTTTTAATGTAGGTCAGTGAACCATGAGGACATTCTCAGGTAAATGTTTTTTTTTGAAGATAAAGGAAATGCAAAATGTTCTAGGCTGAGCAATTTGAATAGAAATGATTTGGAAAGAACTATATTGAAATATGAATTCATAAATTTTTAACCTGAGTGAAGGGCAATGGATTTCAATAAATATCAGTGAGATTGCCATCGAAAGCGCTACAATGACATATGCTAGCTTTTGAAATCAATAACTATTTCCATGAATGGACAATACCTTGCAGACACTTTTGCTGTTAACTTTTAGTTCTATTGCATCAAAATTGCACAAGAAACTGATATCTCTACCAGACATAGACATATTAAGTGCAGACAAATCTCTTATCATTTCTGAAGTTTCTTAGCAGACAGATCCATCAAATCCTAAATCGCAAAAACAGTGATGTTGCATTTTTTAAGACTTCTTTCAATAAATTGAAGAAAGTTTCAAATCTGATTTCAAAAACACTTCCAAACAGAAATTCATAAATAAAATAAAATAACATTTTCTCACTTTTACAGACTAGCCTCTGGTGGGATGTCACAGTTGACAGATAACGTTTCGTGGAACCTGTAAATCAACATTACAAATGGCCACCATTTTCTGCAACCTGCTCTCTGCGAGTTACCCACACAATTGAAATTCAATTGAAAATAGTTTCTCAGGTTTATTGTAAAAAAAAACTGAAACCCATGCTACTTTTCTCGGTAGGATGAAAATAAATTCAGACTCATTAGCTAGTATGGCAACTTAGTTTATCCAGGACAAGATCACTTTTCTGTTATCCTGTTATCTTGATAGATTCATAAAACTTCTAAAACCAGATGCTGTACAGACCAAACAAATATTTACCTCTCTAAAACATCCTTACCCTGCATCATCAACTTGATGATGAAACTTTTGGTTTCAATATACATGTACTTGAGGCCATGAACAAACAGAAAAACAAACTATCGCCATGGCTACACTGCAACATCAGACATGTCTCTACTCCTAGAGATAAACTCCACACACTTCCGCACGCAGCACTGGAAGCTCATCCCAACATCCTTCTTCGCCAGTCCAGGGGTAGTGGTGATAAATGCCAACAAAAACATGTGAATGAAAGTATTTGCATTTTCACTTTTCTTAAAAAAATCAAGTCATGGATATTTCTAAAATGATACTCTGTAAGATACAATGATGGAATACACTGCGATTGATTCTGATTAATAAGTTATAAATTGTTTAAAGGATGATAACAGATTCAGCAGGACTTCAGTGCAATTTATAAGCAAAATATATGCTAGCAGGAATTAAATGCACCACTAATTCCTACAGAATTGCAACAGTGATATGTACAGTGTTTCTACGACCTAGGATCATGTTCAACATATCTACCCTCTGATCAGGACACTCAATATATAAGACACATATCCACCAAGAATACTCATACATTTGATTGTTGTCTGTGCTAATTAACCTACAAAGGTAAGACACATGGACTTTTCTACAAGCAAACACTGATTTTAGGAACATACATCACTAAAACCAGAAAAGTCTATGTTCAAAAGAAAACATTTACATGGTGCAAATCAATGCTTTGTAATTCTTCACCCAAGACAAGGCGTTGCCAGATTATTCCAGATTTACAAATTATTTACATAGAACATTGATATCATATATAGATATGGGAATATGGATACACAACATTCTTTGGTGATGATTTAAACCACTGTGAAAACTGAAGTGTGCATGACCTTTAAGATTTCTGACATGACGTGTAGAAAGCTTGTAACATTAATATGAACAAACATGCATCAAGTTGGTACTCTGAATATATATCAAGAATAACTTATAATACCAAATGAACCTGATATTAATTACATGTTGATGTTATGAAATTTGCTATGGATGATAAAAATCTGTTTCTGGTTCTAAATGTGAAAATAGAATTCAAATTTAAGCATCCAGGGGTAAATGTTAAATATCTTATCTGGTGATTTTATCTTATATACAGTTACACAGGACAACCACGTTAATCCCTGTTCCTGACTAGATAAAAAATATCTGAGATTTTTAAACAAGACATATACAATCGTAAAACATAATATACACAATAATACAAACGGATATTAACACAACAACCCTAAAATAATCCATCAAGGACGTGTCACCTACTACCAAGTTAATCCCAAACTGACATCGACTAAACTTAAACTATTCGATATAACTTTCCAATTTCAAATATCAATATGCAGACTGAAAAAAATTTAAAAATAAATATTTTTCCAGAAACAGATTTTTTTACAATGAAATGAGTGTCAGAATTTATGATTGACAGCCAATAAAGACAAGATGGTGACATATACATCTCTTGTCATAGACACCAATAGTAATGAAATACATTAAATATGTCATGGACATCAGAAGTCTGTGCTGCACCCCCTGGACATGACGTGCTTGTTGTCGTGGGCGTTGTTGGAGCTGACCACTTTGATGTCGTCTGTCGTGTACGAGGGCTGCATGTTCACTGTGGTCACTGGAGCTACCCCATATTTTCCTGAAATCACAAAATTCTTACAAAATTAACACAAGGATGTTGTTTATTGATCAAACTGCATACAACATTGAAGATACATTTGCACCTTATTCATGACACACAGACATTTTGACATACACAGCTTGCTCAAACACCATATCTGGTATTTTTGGGCTGCATAGGTATTTTTAATGTTGAATTCATACTAAAATTCATTATAGACAAATTGATAGATCTCATCCAACATCAATTTCCTTTTGAAAAATTAATAGAATGGATAGCTTAGTTCTTATTCGTTGGTTCCAGTTTTTCCCCAGTTGTCAAAATGTGTCAACCTTGTCAATTGTTTTCTGTTGCTGTGGCCTCAAGACAATGACAGATAACATGAAATATGTTTGATGTTGAATCTGCGCTTTAGTTCAAACATTATCAATGAAATATCAGACTTTATATTTGACCTGAAATAGCAGCTTAAAATATCGGTACCAAGGCGATTGTGAAGCATACATGAAGACCATATATAAGTCAATAAGTGAAAAAGATATTTATCAGTACTTTAAGAAGGACAGGTATTGTTTGATAGTCTTAACATTTCAACCTTTTGATATCAAACAATATGATTAAGACAGGAACATTGATCCTGAATTTATTTTTAGTGTAATTGAACTGATAGTTACTAATACTGCCATATCAGATTTGGAGTCCTCAAGATCTTAATACCCTGACAATAGATTGGATATCAAGTTTTTCTCCCTAAAGCAGAGTCAGACCTACAAAATCCTTGGCACTGCAAATCAGAAGCCTGGAACAGATCATGTACACATTACAAAGGAAGGTTCCAGAATTACATTCATTTTAATCCTGTCCTTACCAAACAAATACACTGAATGTACGTTGAACCATCACATCTGTAGATGACAGGACATATTGTCAGCTTGTCTTGAAATGAGAGTTTGGTTTAATGCTGTTTAGAACAGTGTTTCAATTATATCGCCTTCAAGTTGGAGAAGACACCCAAGTGAGGGGATGGCAAATGATACTACTTAAGTAACCAACAATCGGGGTATGTGACAACCCAGAATCATATTCAGGTGAACCAGGAACGAAAACCCACGATTATCGGATCTTGGCACAAGAAATACATGAAATCTCATGAAATCATGACTTAGACACAATGGCACCTGTTGTCCTCCTTGTAGAAGCTGCATTAAAACCACCCTAAGAAAAGACAAGTCCCATACATCAGTTCATCACTAGCATGACACGACTGTTATGACGATGTTCACATCGGTTCACATGACGATGATACACCTATTATCATGACGATGTGCATCATAACATAGGTTCACATGATGATACCTCATGAAATAATCTCACCTGTTCAATGTTGTCAAGGTACACACAAAGTCTTGTCTTATTACAACACACAAGTGGTATGGAGGCCTCATGCAGGCAGTCAAAGGGAGATAACTCAGATAAGCCACACAAGACGACATGTTGGAATTAACCATCACTTCACGCGTTTCACAAAAGCAGAAATAAATGGTTACTTGTGAGAATCAAACATACTGAAAAGTGCATATAGTTCTGAATAAAAAGATATGATTTCAAGGAAAAGACACGCAACATGCTGTATTAGTCAATAGATTGTTTACAGAGGTGTTAGATAGTCGTGATGTGCACGGTATTTTGCAAAAACATTTTAAATATTTTTTGACACAAGGACATTACTTTATTTACTTTCACTATGATGTAACTTGAACTGAACTGTTCGCAGACAACAAAGATGAGAAGACTCATTACGGGACATACAGCAACAAAAGATGTCATTTCTGTTGCTGTTTACGGACAGAGAGAGAATTACCAGAGCTTTACAGCCTACAATTTGCACCTTAGGGACCGATCATGTATTATCATGGTGGTTGGGTCGGAGGGAATCGGGAGAGTGACACCCAAAAAGATGACAGTCTCTAGGGAGGGCAACAAAAAAGTATACAAGTTTGGGAGAGGTCATGAAGAAATTGGATATTTCATAATAAAATTAAAGTGCTTTTGCAGTTTGTCTTTTCAGGGAGGGGCCTTTAAAAAAATGTATAAAGACATGGGGAGGGTCATCCAAAAATAGGAGTGAGTGAGTGAGTTGGGGTTTTAACACCGCTTTTAACAGTATTCCAGTTATATCGCAGCGTGTCAGCTTAATGTTGGAGGAAAGCCTGAAGTGATGCAGGTCTCAGACATTTACCACTTTGGTGAAACCCTGTGACGAGCACGGGTATGGTGCTGACAAACCTAGAAACATAATAAGGGCGAACCAGGATTTGAACCCACAATCGTAGGTTTCTGACGTGCCCAAGGGACGCAACTCTGCTCAGCGAATCGCGGCACCTAAGATGACTACCCCCAAAATAGGACATTAGGGGAGGGTAATTATTTACAGTAAATAAGTGCCTCAAAAACCTCTGACCCACCCATCCCGGGTGGGATGGGTGGGTTCCTTATAACCGGTCCCTTATGCAAGGAGGGAAAATGACAGTTCTAAAATTGAGATGATAAATTTGGCCCTTCAGTATTTCATGATCCTATGATTTATCCCAAATATTCAACTTCTCTCTAGAATTCTATAAATGGTGAAAGATTTCTCTTTGACTACATCTTTTCAAGAGACCTAAAAACTCAATAGTTCCCGGCAACGGTGCACATAACATTATCCTCAGAAAAGTGTTAACACTAAAGAATATCCATGTAAATATTAATACCTCCAAAGTCCAAAATATTGTTACATTTTGTTAAAAAATCCCATGTGAAACATATGTCAGGATGTTCTTGTCAAATAGCAAACAGAATCTTGTAAAAACAAAATATGAATGAGGTTCTTTTCAGCTAGACATGTTGACTGTTTTCAGTCTGTGTACAGCAGCCCTGTTGTTGAGAGTGTTAGAAAGGAAAAGCTTCCACTACACAGAAATAGTTGCAATATAGACTTGCTGCAGGCCCTTCGTCCACTCTGTGCCTCAAATAGCACAACCCCAAATATACTGTATTCGACGTAATAAGCGTTCGCTCTAATAAGTGCCAAAGGCGATATTTGCTAATATATTGGCTAGTGAACACTCCCAATTAGCACACTTTCCGATTGATCAATGTACACAAGACTTATTTATTCGCGTATAATACACACTGGTGTGTTATATGCATCCTTAATTATGGGCAATTAAATTCTGGAAATATATATATCTCTCGTGTATAAACATTTCAGGCTGTCAGCATAAACCACGAAATTTATCTTTCAACTCTGTTTTTTTCGACAAAATAATATTCTAATAAGAGCCCCCTATTTCTAATATTGAGAGCACCCTGGGCGCTTATTATGTCGAATACGGTACCCATGGTACGGTATGAGTCCACTGACAATTCTTCTTTGGTTTAATCACAAATAATAATTCCTCAAAGTAATTATTACAAAAGAATTAAACCTCCTCTATTGTTAATCAAAATGGCAGCAATTTCTTAATATTCATGTCTTTGATTCTCATTCTAATTGAAGGAATGTGTTATCTTACAGCAATACCCCCAGCACCAAACATATGCTTACACAGTTTACACTCTCCTATATTTAAGATCATAGCATCTTTCTCGTTTCTTTTTATATACATGTTTTCAAAAAAACTTGTGCCAATAGGCTCAGTAGCTCACCTATATATTCAAAGATAAAAAGCAACTGTAAGTTCCAACAATCAGATTAATACACTTTTCTCAACATGTATCAACCATTCCCAAGGTAAGATCGATTGCCAGGAGATGTGTTAGAGAGTGAATGGAGGTAGCTCATTGTTTAGTTTAGATGTAAACTTATGAATATTTCCAGCTACAAAAAATGGTAAAGTATTTACTACGGGTGATAATTATACGTAGGTTTCATATGTAGGTGTCTGTATAAACTATTGATAGTCAAACATGGTACCGACAAATTTCAGCTTGTCATTGATGGTATTTCCACTGGCCTTTATACAATCACAATGCCATAACAGTTTGAAGAAGTCATTACATCCTTAAGTTAAACACCACATACATACTGCACATCAAACTGCATAAACATGCAGAAAAGGCTGAGTAGTGGACAAATATGGCTGCCAATTTTAAAATCAGGATGAAATCTTTTGGCAGCACTGCTGGGATCAGTCATACAATGTTTCACAGCATTATGGAGAGATGACAAAACTGAATGTTTATACAAGAGGGACAAGGTGCCTTGACATATTCTCACATAAACCCTAGGTTCAAGTGAGGTAAACATCGACCTGACACATTATGAAAAAATTCCAAGAAATTCAAAATGATAAAACCCAAAAATGGCTACCTGCATTTTAGACCATTGATCTTGTATGCATATCAATACCTACATTGGAATTTTCCTGATAATACTTTTCTTGAATGGGAATCAACTCCCTTAAACTAGAATCATCTCCACTGAACATGAATTATTTCCCCTGAACTAGAATCATCTCCCTTGAATATGAAATATCTCCCTTGAACTAGAATGATCTCCCTTGAACAAGAACCTGGGCAAGTCTATGGGAGTTGTTGCAGTACAAAAGCCGGCACAGATGTACAGGTGACAACAAGCACTGAAGTGACCCGGAAGTGGACACTCACCGGGGGGTCAACACTTGTTATCCTAGCCCCCAGGAAGACATGCCTCCCTAGGGGACTTGCCCCGGGATGGGGCCCTGATCGGCCGCTAAGGGGAGAGAAGTCAACTCACCGTCAGTCATACCTTGCCAAGCTTTAGGAAATAACAATTCATATTTTGGATTACATTTTGGAAAGGAATGAAAAGATGATCTATACAGTCTTCTCTGCAGGTTTCAATGGACGGGAAACTGCTAGGTTATAGATGGAGATCGGCATGTAAACAGGTAATGCTACTCAAATCAAAATTTTAAAAATGATTCTTGACACCACATTTACATGAAAGTGATCAGCGATTCCATGGGCTCCTTATTAATACAGCCTCTGCTTAGAATTTCTGCATAAATGGAGAATAAATATTGAGACACTGATTTCATATTACTTTTCATATATATACACAAAAACTCCTTAATCCTAAACAAGTGACAAAAAACCCAAATCAAAGCATGTAGCATCTTGAGTTACTAGAGACCGACTTTGAATCGGAAGACAAAACTTATTTGTTTTTGCTGCATCTGTTAATATACAAACAACATCAAATAAAAAAGACACCCATCACTAAGTAACAGTATCATATTGCCTTGAACATCACACTATCACACTCCTGACTTGCTAGGCCATTAATGGACAGACTTTAATATTCTAGGGGCCAGGGATTTTTGCTGGAGACATTATATTTTCTCGGTCACGCTTAAAGAATTTTTTTCTTGTGCCAAAATGTTTCTCAAGACATCCAGTCAACAATCTTTTATCTTGATAGAACCTGAGGCATAATAATTTCTTGTCCAGTATTTATCTCCAGAACACCCAATGGTTACTCCCAGAGTAATGCCCAGCATTGCCCGCTGGCCCAGAGCACCTGTCCCTGGCACCTGAGAGCAGACTGTATAGCAATGATATACACTATGTCACAGGCCACAAGAAAAACCCAGACACATAATCAGGAAGGAATTGCCCGGGCAACAAAGTACCTGTCAGAACACAAGCTTTGATAGATGAGTGATGAAGCTTTTGTCAGCAGTCTTCAGAACAAAAGCCAATCAGGACAGTATGAATGGTCTGCTCATGATTGCCAATGTGGAAAATCAAGTCCGAGCTAATTTTGTTACAGCTGATCATGCAAACCAACAGCCAAATGTTTCAGAATAGCAAACCAATTGACAAGTGTCAAGACTGATTAGTCTCAAGAATACATCAGCTGTGAGACGTCTACATGTTAGTATCAGGATTAGTCTCAGTCAACCCTGAACGTTTTGGGTTCCAATTTAAATCAATGCAGCCTCAATCTCAATAAAATCAGAACTTAGAGCCGCTACCACTGAACAAAGATCTGGGGACATCCCACGTCAGAGCGACCTTTCATCCGACCAATCAGACCAACGGGATCTTACCAGATTGGGAAAGTGACAGTAGGAATGTTTTCTAATCATGCAACCTCGTAAAGGATAACATGGTCGGTGTATTCGGGGTGCCTGTTACGGGCCAAATGGTTATTTCCGTCCAAATGGTTGTCTATCTCTCTCTCTTCAATGGGAAAAACATTTCAAACAGAAGAGTCTTTTAATAGCTGGTAAGTACTGCAACACAATCTCGGCAATCTAAAAGACATTTCAGAATTCTTTTTTGTTCAGTGTTCATCTGGAATTGAAATCACCAGTTTAAAACTAGTGCTGAAAAGCTTGAAAAAGCTGCTTTCTTATTGGCTAATGTCAACTTCTTGTTTGTTATTTCATTGGTCGGTCAAAGTTTGCAACAGGTCGTTCTCACATGACTTGTAATGCGATGTCCTCAGATCTATGTGTAGTGGAAGCGAGCCCTAAGATCTGATTTTAAGGAGACTGATGCAGCCAGCACGAGAGCTGGTCTTTTAAGAGAAGTCAGATCATCCAATTCCCTTCTGGTACAACCATCACATGACACTTGATACCAGTGAGTGAGTGAGTGAGTGAGTGAGTGAGTGAAGGTTGTTTAAAACCACATCAAGCAATATTTCAGCCAAGTAATGTGGGGCTGCAAATCATCAAGTCTTGGCCAAACAAGCCAGTGGTTGGAAGCATGATCAGCAACCTGTACGTCAGCCAGGTCACACTGGGGCCATCGATCTATATGTATTATGTAGTTGGATCTTATGACACAACGAGATCCTGGGAGCTATTCTGCCCATACAGGCAACATGATTTAAGTCAATTGTTTTCCAACCATGAGATACCGGATAACAACTCTACCCATATCCAAGATCTCAGTTGAAAATACAAACAAATGAAATCCTGAATACAAGGTTCAATGAGCAAATAATGTGTCAAGACTGACAGGTCAATATCTAAGGCAGAAGCCAAGCTTTTATGTTTAAGAACAATTAATATTTCACCATCATAATACCATAAATCCATTTGATAACAAAAAAGCAGTATATATCACACACAGAGAGAAACACGGATGTAGAATTCACTCAAAAGGAAACTGAAGATGTGCATGGAGTACATCAAAATGCTGTGACTGTGAGTGAGTGAGTGAGTGAGATGGGATAAATGCCACTTCAACAGAATTGGGGACGAATGCTAATAGTGGCGCCTTAAATAACTGGGACATCCATGCCTGCTCCCCATGCTGTGAGGTGACACTCCCACCCATGTCTGTATGTGTGGAAACATTAACCGTACCAAGTACAGTTTTAACATATTCATAGAACCAGAAATACAGGGTACAGATGGAGTGAAAACAAACATCCACTGGTTAACAATCACTTCACATACAGCATGTGCACAAAACAATTCATGACACACTATGAAATGCAGACACATGCTGATGTATAGATACATACTCTGTGACAACAGGTTCATGTTTCAACACAAGTAACACGAGATGAAAACATTCCACAAACTAATCCTGAAGCTGCAACAGGAACACACCGCCAAGTCCCACAATGCATCACACAAAATGAGTTTATCTCCCTGCTAGAATGTTAGTCCCTCAATATTAATCAGTAATCTGCTCTTGTGTTCTTGAGGGTCTTGGTTTCTACAAACATGGCAGTGAAGGAATCAGGGAGAGATGGGGAGAGATGGGTTTAACATTGCTTGGACTAGTATTTCAGTTTTATCAGACCTTGTCAGCTTCATGAGGGAGGATAGGCCAAACCGATGCAGATCTTAGATGCTTACCACTTCCTCAAAACCAACAAGCATGGGTAAGATGAGGACAATCCAACAATTACAACCAGGCCGAGTTTGGGATTCTGCCACCGCTTGGAGAGGAAGGTCTGCACAGGTTATCACAGTGCGTAAGACGACTGGGCACTTGTTGCACTCAGCAATATTCCAGCTATATGATGGCGGTCTGTAAATAATCGAGTCTGGACCAGACAATCCAGTGATTAATATCATGAGCATCGATCCACGCAATTGGGATCGATGACATGCATCAACCAAGTCAGCGAGTCTGACCACCCGATCCTGTTAGTCGCCTCCTACAACAAGCATAGTTGCCTTTTACGACAAGCATGGGTTGCTGAAGATCTATTCTACCCTGGATCTTCACGGGTCTGGCCACTAGTACTCCTGGGCTGTTGCAGATCTGCGATCGAGCCATCGATTAACACAGCGAGGTGGGATGGAGGAAGGGAAGACAAGCTGCTCACTTGGGTGAAGCAGTAACACAATGACCTTTCCACATCACATATACTGAGTGGCCGAAATAAGGGAAGAGCATAGGAAGGTAGAGGATACATGACATGTATCCGATGACTGGGCGTTGTGTGGGGCGGTAGTGACATGCCAACATTCTGTGTACAAAAAGTTTTAATCTGCTATCCTGAAATTGTTTCTTGGCATGAATTTCAGCAGAATATGGGGACCATTATCAGCTGAGCTATTACTGGACCAAACCTATTTTATAAGACTTATACGTCGGAGTAGTGGCTCAAGTCTGTGCCAGACACCAACACTTCACTCTGTCCCTCATTCCTTAACATGAGGTGCGACGATGTGAAATAGAATTTATTTCACATTAAAGATTATTGCAGTTACATAACGAAGTGCATGCATGTGTGTGTGTGTGTGCAGCTTGTACGAGTCTGGGCTTATGCTGTCCTTATAGTGCTATATATGCTGCAGTTTAAAATGGATACCACATACCACACAGCATACTGATTCTAAGCCGACCAGTCCTTGTTTTTAGCATCAGGTAGGGTAACAAGTACCATCTTTTAACGTCTTTGGTAGGAAGCGGATGGGGATTGAACCAACGACCTTCCGCTCTATAGGCATACGCTATATCCACTAGACCACAGAGGCTGTCTCATAGACATAAAGCATTGACTCTGCACAGCAAGAAGCAGTACCCAAGGGATCTGCACTCACTCCATGCCCAGTAGGGCAGGGTCACTGCACTGTGTCAGGTCCAATACAGGAACACAGAGATGCAGTCACAAAACCCAGCATCAGTCCCACGTTGTGTCTTGGCACAGACAAACCACACTAACAGACACTGGTGCTGAAATGTGGATTTGAACCATAGCCAGTCCATCCAGCCAACAGCATCTCTCTCTCTTCAGCATAACCTATCTAGTCTACAGTGATCCTATCCCCAAAACCATCCCACACTCTTAGCAAAGCATCAAACAAGTTGAAACAATCATAACAGCAGTCTTTGATAGGCATTTAGAATACATGACACTTGTCAGGAATAGCATTCTTTGTCACAACGTTTCAGAGCTATTCCTGCTGTTTTAGCTTTATGCACTTTCTAAATGTTCACCTGATGAAGGAGCAAGAAGTAGCTCTGAAACGTGACAAAGAAGTTGCTATCCCTTAAAAATGTCATCTATTCAAATCATAACAGCAAAATGAAAGAAACCTTGTCTAAGCTACATTTACCACTAACACAAACTCCAGCACATGAACAAGGAAGCTCCGTTACAAAAGGGTGTGGCACAAATATCTTCTGTTTCTTCATTTGATCATGCATGAATGCTTTAAAATGCTTTGTTTCCCCCAAAATAAGTTTACCAAGCAAATATATATACACTAAAAGCTACGCTTACTTGACCAGGCAACAAAACCAAAGAATATGCTCCATCTGCTCTAAACAAACGAAAGAGGCGATGTAACAGAATGTTGGCGTAGAGGAACATGGGAAGTACAACATGCTGGTTGGAGAGGACAGACACACCTCCAACATGTCACACACGGTATAACTCACCAGAAAAGTTGAGTTGGTTTAACGTCATGTCCCAAATGTGGTTCTTTCGTCCTATGTACGCAATGCAGGTGGAGAAAGTAGAATAGAAGAACTCTTCTACATAGTTGGATATATATAAACAGTACTCATATTGATTTCTTCCCATTATTTCTTTATCTATGAATAGTGATGAAAAAGAAAATATCTTTTCAGTAATAAGTTGAAACTAATTATACTTTCAGCCCTTCATATGATCACAGTTTCATGTAAAAATAGAAAGAAGAGAGTTGAAAGATCTGTTTAAATGTTTCCGTAAATTAGTCTTGATATTTCAATTATTTCATCTGGGGCGTCAACAGTAGACATGTAATAACCGGCACATATATTTTAACAGAACATGTATTTAACTAGATCAAAATAATGTAGATATCAAAACATAATACATTAGTAGATGAACTAAAAGTATGCATCTGTGTTGGATTGAAACATCATTAGAACTATAGTTTCTATGCAGGGGAAAAGAAGGAACCCTGAAACACATAGAGAATACAGACAACACAGGATGGCCATCCTCAATGAAAAGAATGGCACAAAGTTGGAAAAATTATTCAAACCCAACAAAATCTCATAAAATAATCTGTATTCAGCAATTGGTAACACAAAATCTAATTCAACCAATTAAAATAATCATTCACAAACAGAATAAGAAAGAAACCTTGGAACAAACTCCAGCGTAACAAAATGTAAATTCCGTTGAACAAATAAAACACAACACCAAATAAAACTGCAATAAAACAAAGGAACTGCCAAGCAGAAGGTGGAGAGTGAGTGAGTGAGTGAGTGAGGGAATTACCTGCACATGTTGGTGGCCCCATGCCTGGTGGAGGGAAGACAGAGAATGAGACACCGATATACAGCAAGTATATGTACAGCAAGTATATGTACAGCAAGTATATGTACAGAAACAGATGGATGTATATGTTTTAGAATATCGCTGAATTTGAAGAGATGATCCTAACTTGTCCACCATCCACCCTGCCCATCCCTATCTAACACTGACCACACCCATCCCTTGTTAACTTGTCCACCATCAACCCTGCACCCATCCCTATCTAACTCTGACCACACCCATCCCTTGTTAACTTGTCCACCATCCACCCTGCCCATCCCTTTCTAACACTGACCACACCCATCCCTTGTTAACTTGTCTACCATCCACCCTGCCCATCCCTATCTAACCCTGACCCCAACCAACCCTTGTTAACTTGTCCACCATCCACCCTGCCCATCCCTATCTGACCCTGACCACACCCATCCCTTGTTAACTTGTCTACCCATCCACCCCTATCTAACCCTGACCACACCCATCCCTTGTTAACTTGTCCACCATCCACCCTGTCCATCCCTATCTAACCCTGACCACACCCATCCCTTGTTAACTTGTCTACCCATCCACCCCTATCTAACCCTGACCACACCCATCCCTTGTTAACTTTTCCACCATCCACCCTGCCCATCCCTATCTAACTCTGACCACACCCAACACTTGTTAACTTGTCCACCATCCACCCTGCCCATCCCTATCTAACCCTGACCACACCCATCCCTTGTTAACTTGTCTACCCATCCACCCCTATCTAACCCTGACCACACCCATCCCTTGTTAACTTGTCCACCATCCACCCTGCCCACCCCTATCTAACCCTGACCACACCCATCCCTTGTTAACTTGTCCACCATCCACCCTGCCCACCCCTATCTAACCCTGACCACACCCATCCCTTGTTAACTTGTCCACCATCCACCCTGCCCATCCCTATCTAACCCTGACCACACCCATCCCTTGTTAACTTGTCTACCATCCACACTGCCCATCCCTTTCTAACACTGACCACACCCATCCCTTGTTAACTTGTCTACCATCCACCCTGTCCATCCCTATCTAACCCTGACCACACCCATCCCTTGTTAACTTGTCCACCATCCACCCTGCCCATCCCTATCTAACCCTGACCACACCCAACCCTTGTCAACTTGTCCACCATCCACCCCTATCTAACCCTGACCACACCCAACCCTTGTCAACTTGTCCACCATCCACCCTGCCCATCCCTATCTAACACTGACCACACCCATCCCTTGTTAACTTGTCCACCACCCACCCTGCCCATCCCCATCTAACTCTGACCACACCCATCCCTTGTTAACTTGTCCACCCTCCACCTGGCCCACCCCTATCTAACCCTGACCACACCCATCCCTTGTTAACTTGTCCACCACCCACCCTGCCCATCCCTATCTAACCCTGACCACACCCATCCCTTGTTAACTTGTCCACCCTCCACCTGGCCCATCCCTATCTAACCCTGACCACACTAAACCCTTGTTAACTTGTCCACCATCCACCCTGCCCATCCCTATCTAACACTGACCACACCCATCCCTTGTTAACTTGTCCACCACCCACCCTGCCCATCCCCATCTAACTCTGACCACACCCATCCCTTGTTAACTTGTCCACCCTCCACCTGGCCCACCCCTATCTAACCCTGACCACACCCATCCCTTGTTAACTTGTCCACCACCCACCCTGCCCATCCCTATCTAACCCTGACCACACCCATCCCTTGTTAACTTGTCCACCCTCCACCTGGCCCATCCCTATCTAACCCTGACCACACCCATCCCTTGTTAACTTGTCCACCATCCACCCTGCCCACCCCTATCTAACCCTGACCACACCCATCCCTTGTTAACTTGTCCACCATCAACCCTGCCCATCCCTATCTAACCCTGACCACACCCATCCCTTGTTAACTTGTCTACCATCCACACTGCCCATCCCTTTCTAACACTGACCACACCCATCCCTTGTTAACTTGTCTACCATCCACCCTGTCCATCCCTATCTAACCCTGACCACACCCATCCCTTGTTAACTTGTCCACCATCCACCCTGTCCATCCCTATCTAACCCTGACCACACCCATCCCTTGTTAACTTGTCCACCCTCCACCCTGCCCACCCCTATCTAACTCTGACCACACCCAACCCTTGTTAACTTGTCCACCATCCACCCTGCCCACCCCTATCTAACTCTGACCACACCCAACCCTTGTTAACTTGTCCACCCTCCACCCTGCCCATCCCTATCTAACCCTGACCACACCCATCCCTTGTTAACTTGTCCACCCTCCACCTGGCCCACCCCTATCTAACCCTGACCACACCAAACCCTTGTTAACTTGTCCACCCTCCACCTGGCCCACCCCTATCTAACCCTGACCACACCCATCCCTTGTTAACTTGTCCACCCTCCACCTGGCCCACCCCTGTCTAACCCTGACCACAACCAACCCTTGTTAACTTGTCCACCATCCACCCTGCCCATCCCTATCTAACACTGACCACACCCAACCCTTGTTAACTTGTCCACCCTCCACCCTGCCCATCCCTATCTAACCCTGACCACACCCATCCCTTGTTAACTTGTCCACCATCCACCCTGCCCATCCCTATCTAACCCTGACCACACCCAACACTTGTTAACTTGTCCACCACCCACCCTGCCCATCCCCATCTAACACTGACCACACGTTCCTGGCCCCAACCATATCAGCCTCATTATTCTTGGACATATTCACATATCTTCCATTGCTGTTTAAAAGTCTTGTGTTGGTCGCACTTTCAAAACCATGTTGAGCTTGATACTCAAGTGACATGTAGTAATTAAAATCAGCAAGTGAACAAAATAATACCAGAAACAAAGTCTGGTCAATCTCAATTGTCTTGTCCATAATTAAAACCCGAAGTCACTAGAAAATAATTAGACCATCACTGTTAATGAAATAAACCACTTGGTAAAAAAGGTTCATCTAAAGCTTCCATGTATCAATTTATCACCACAAGCAGTAGAGCAACCGCTAGTACCAACATGAATACGCACAGGGAGATGATTTATGGTCAGGATATTGCAAGTTAACGAGGATATTTCAAGCACCAAGGCTATTATAGGCGGTTAATAAGTTTCCAGCAATGACGCAAGACCGATCTCAGATTGGAAAGACAAGTCTAGGAATTAAATGGGGTCTTAGGTTAATGACAGCAAGCGAATTCATTTAGCCTTGCTCCACCAGCGACAGCCCTAACCAAAGAGGCTTATGAACCTTGTGACATATCCACCACAAGGGTTTTGATCGTTAAATCATATTACTGAGGAGCAGAGTTGTTCTCTCAACATAAGTGGGCGCCGTGGAAGGTACCAGAGTTAAAGCATAGAAATAATGGAGGATAATAAATAATAACTTCATAATATTTTCCATCAAGGGTAAGGTACTTTTCTGTCATGATCAATTCTGATCAGCGGATGATATGACCATAAAATAGAGTGCCCCCCTCTGGTGGAGGAGTAATCCGAGGCATATGGCGAGGAATCCTGCGCTCAACACTGAAAGGATCTCATGTCACAGATTTCACAATATCATTTGGCTGGTCTGTAAATAAACTTTATTTTTTCTTGTTTACGTTAGTCAATTTGTCTTGTTGCACTTATTACGTCAAATACGGTATTTGAAGTTCGATATCTATATGTTGTTTTTGTCTTTGCAATTGATTTTTATACAATCCTGATAAGATTATTGCCTAGTATTTTCGCGAAACAAGGAATACAACTGGTTTAGTCAAAAGGATATTGACGACTACCGGTATGTCTGTTAATATACCAGAACCATTTTTGGTAATGATAAGGATTTCACTTATCCCTGAGAAAATAAAACTGCCAAATTTGAGAACTTTATGGTGATAATGTTAGTTGGAGAATCTAATAATCACAGAAACCACCGATCACAGGTTCAGAATTAATTAAATCGTTTCATCTAAAGTAATATGCATCAAATAGATGACATTCTTTCAGATAGATCCACTGTTAATATCCTCACAATCAAATATCATCAAATATGGTTAGCCTGCAAAACATACATAACATCATACATTCTTGTATTGTCTAGCAGTGTGTGAAATAGCCACCTACCCACTGGCTAGCAAAATTTCAGGTGGGCTAAACATTATAATATCCTAGCCTAAATGGCTACTGAAACGTTAAGGTGACTTTTTTTGTTGACACCTTAGTTGATCAAAATAACAAATTTTCTCCCATTTCTGAACTCACTACGACCATCAAAAATATAAAATCAGTACCAAATGGAGGTTGCAAGATCAGATTTACCCTCTCCATAATACTGGACTCATGATTTGCAATTTGGCCTCACTTTACTGATACCTTTGCAGAATCAAATTTCTGGAAAAACATAGCTAGTGACGTATGAAAGTGGAAAGTAACTTTTAAGGCTAGCTATACCAAAAGGCAAGTATGCTTTGAGACTATTTTGCACACTGTTGTGTAACACTAATATCCACAGCATACCCACCATTTATTGGTGGAAGTTTGTTGTTGATTGTGCCGTCGGGCCCCTGATAGCTGATCATGTCATGCTTGGTGACGGGGGCGTTGCTCCCCATGTTGTCTGGGACCACGACCGGCTCCCCCGCCGTGTTGGTGCCAGTGCTGTTTGTCTGGAAGTACAACAGAGCACACTATCACAGCTGGACACGCTGAACAGTACAAATACAGGAACCACTCATGGTAGAACACAACGATCTCATCAATGTCAGACCTACTACTCCAGGATACCTGGCAGCGTGGAGACAAACTCTCCATGGACGATCCATGCCACAGGATGCAATGGCATGGGATCAGCCAGCTGACACATTGTAACAGCCGTTGAAATTCATGCTGGTCCGCCAGCCAGAGACAACTACAAAGTGCTGAGGACCAGTAAACATTCAATGACAAGCAGCATTTGAAGGCTATAAGTTTGAACCACCGCATAATGCTTCAATTTTGCTACAAATAAGAACTGAATAAAACTGACAAAAAACATTATTGTCTTGTTCAAGCGGCACTAACTGCAAACTCTGAGGCCTAGTGAAATAAAGATTCCACTAGTGCTCTGGGTGCTGTTGTACAAAGGAATCTTAGTGCTGAGGTGATCGCAACACCCATACTTTAACATAGATTTACGATCATTGTAGCGCTGAGGTTGTTTTGTACAACTGCACCCTGGGCTCGTCTTCAAAAGGAGAAGAATAATTTCTAAGACTGTTGTAACCACGTGATCCCTGACTCTTACAACAGCCCTGGGACACGAGGGACACGGGGGACACGAGGGACACGAGGGACACGGGGGACACGGGGGACACGAGGGACTCGGGGGACACGGGGGACACGAGGGACACGAGGGACTCGGGGGACACGGGGGACACGAGGGACACGGGGGACACGGGGGACACGGGGGACTCATACTTACCCCTAAATCCCCAGGGTAAATGACTAATGACTGACTGTAACACACTGACACGGTACTTTCTTCAAGACTACTGCAGAACTGTTACCTTCTGTTGTGTGATATTGGTTGAGCCATAGTACTCGTGCCGCACATTGACAGCGTTACTCTCCTTCACAGGCAGCTCTCCGTCAGCTGTATGCACCTGGGAACTGTCCGGCACCACGTAGCCACGACGATCTAGCAAACTAGAAACATAATGTCCATATAATCATACATTCACGTAACACGGGAATACAGAATCCTTCATTTCCCTCCTCATTTCCACACTCGTTCCTCATGAATTCCAAAACAAGAAATATAATTGGTATATATCATGACATATATTCAAATACACACGTAAGTGTGTTTGTTTGTTGTTAAAATGAGCACTCAGCAATATTCCAGCTATATGATTGTTGCCTGTAAATAATTGAGTCTGGAGCAGGCAATCCAGTGGTTGATGTTATGAACAACGATCCAGGCCGTCGGGGTATGATGACACACATTCAACCAAGTCACCGAGCTGGACCAGCTGCTCCATTAAGTCACCTCTAAAAACCAGCATAGGTTGCGGGGGGCTCTCGTCTCAAAGCCATGGAACATGTAAAACCCCTTCTCTCACCTAGGGACCCATGAAGATTCAGGTAGAAAATAGGTCTTCAGCAACCCATGCTTGTCGTAGGAGGCAACTAATGGGATCGGGTGGTCGGGTGGTCGATGCATGTTATCGTATCCCATTTGCGTGGATCAATGCTCATGACATCGGAACTAAACTGTCTGGTCCAGACTCGATTATTAACATCACCGCCATCACATAGCTGGAATATTGTTGAGTGCAGCGTTCAACAACAACCAACAAACAAACGAACTCTCACCTCGGAGGGGTTGGTCCACAAAGAACTGTCATGCAGTTCCTAAATATTGAGCCCTTGCTGTAGGGATTGAAGTTTTCTTGGCCCCTCTTGGCTGTAAATGAACCCTTTATCTGAAATACAGTGTAATCTGAGATTAGGCTGCAGTCAAGAAAGAGGCTGGAAGAATACCTTCACCCATTCCACAGAGCAGCTGTAGATCCTTGTCCATTGTAAGCCCTATAACACAGACCCAAGACATACCTCAACTAACATCCAGTCTCTGAAATGAACATATTTTACAGAAAAATACAGTTCTTAAATTATCTTTATAAAATATAATAAAAAGGAGCCAAGAGACTTTCTTCGTTATCCTGAAACTGGAGTAATCTCGACTTGCCAAATAATATGGAGCTGCATGGGCTGTATTGATATATTTGGTTCAGGGTCTGTGTGACAGAGTTTGAGATGCAAACCTCATCTAGCCACAGTGTCATGTACATTGTAAGCTTAAAAAGGTACATGAAATCCCAGCTAGCTGCAGTGTTTGTGCAAGGAAGCCTAATGATGACATATCAAAGCCTTAAAGTCCTGACATACATGATTACAGTACACTGGCATTTGTTTCCTTTGCGGAATTACGAACAGAAAAAACATTAATTGACACAATTAGACACAATTTATGGATAACAACTTCTTTATTTACTGTAAGGGTCTACAGTAAACTATGTTTATAATGAACACGCTTACAACGAACTGACTGATATAACTAGCTGTACTTTTGGTCCCAGCTATTTTCCATATATTTTATCATATAAAGTTAATGGATATAATGAACATGCTTACAATGAAATAATGGATATAGCGAACCCCCCTTGTGGTCCTGTTTGTACTCTGCCAACGATTATTAAATGTTTAAGTGTATAACGAACTGTTAATCCTTGAGCTGATCTCCGGGTCACCTATCTACCTATCAAAATATCCACGGCCATGCACTGCTGTTCAAAGCGTCAATAAACAATTGAAGGTAATTGATTTACTCTTAAGCACCGACACCTTGTCCTCAAATTACAACCTCAATTAACAACAGTAACACAGTGATTGAAGTGGATATATTCCGTACATGTACAGTGCACACTTTTGTTATTTATCGAGTAAGATGATGTCACATGACTTGATAAAAGATGTCCGACAGTCGAAATGCGCATAACGAACGACGGATATAACGAACTAATATTAGTGGTCCCTTTGAGTTCATTACAACAGCAGTTAATGTATACAGAACGTCGCCTTTACTGTAAATAAAGAAGTTGTTATCCATAAATTCTCTCTACTTTGTCCTCCATCAACTTCTAAGCAGCGCCTATCAAACAATTCAAAACATTAATTGCAACAATTACATGCAGGTACAATATATAAAAGAGGACATAACCTAACACCTTGTAGACCACACACCACAGAGCTTGTCAATGTGCAGCCTCCCAGCTGTGCTACTTACATCTTCATTTGTGGTTAGCTCGGTAGAGACAAGGTAAGAGTGAAAGCCCGCCAAGCCAACAACAGAGAACACAGAGAAGAAGCAGATCACTGCCTCGATCACAGTGAAGAGTGTTAAGGAAATAATCAGAAAATCAGTCCCGCACAACACAACACACTCAGCTACAAACTACAGGCCCTGTTCCACAAAGCCATCTTAGCGCTAAGATGATCGTAACTCCCATACTTTAACACTGGATTACGATAGTTGTAGCGCTAAGATGATCGTAACTCCCATACTTTAACACTGGATTACAACAGTCGTAGCGCTAAGATCGCTTTGTGGAATGTGCCCAGGGCCCACTTGCACAAAGCAATCTTAGCACTACAACTATTGTAATCCTATGTTAAAGTGTGGGAGTTACGATCATCTTAGCACTAAGATCGCAAGTGGGCCCAGGTCTCAATGTATGGAAGGAACAAGACTCCTTGATTCAAGAGTCCTACAACAAAATGAATTTATCTTAATTACTGTTTTACTGTTTGCTACATCATGTTCTAGTGGTAGTGTGATGGATCAGACTATATTTATAAGGGCTGGCTGAAAATTATTATCGTCAATGAGAAGAAATATTAACGACTATTGATATGAAATAGTTGTAATCAATAATAACTTACATAAACTGTTGTGATGAAATAAAGTTTAGATTTACCGAAACAAACTTGTTATTATCAATTATCTAAATTGTCTAAGACAGAAAGCAACAGTTTTGTCATATCTCAAATGTCCACAAAGTAATCCATGCATAGATGTGTCACTGCTCACCAGTGGTGTGAAATATGTTGATTTCTTTAGGGACTTTCTTGAATATTTGCTAAAAGTTATTTTTCGATAACTGATCGATATTTAATTAGGGATTATTGATATCTATAATCTGTATCGATAGTCTGCCCTAATATTTATTGTTTACTGCACTACCTATTTTCAATCTTAGTCACCAGGGATAGAAATTAATTCATAAATATCAGTAATGATCTGTTATAGAGTTACCATCTACCAGACGGTCAAAGTGGTAGTCCACATGAAATGTTTCTTGTACTTTCTGAATCTTACTTGCCTGGGACTTGCGGACTTATGGTAATTTCGATACCCCCAGTACTAGTAATGATGCACATATCTGGAATATTCTCAGCAAAACAAAATATGAAATGAATTTTGACACTGACAAAGAATTCTTTTCATTTTTCAAGTTGCTAGCACAAATATAAAGTACAAAGAACTGTGGAATCTTATAGTCACACCCACATGAGCTATTCTGAGAACATCACCTGTCATACACTCACATATCTTTGTGACAAAAATAATCAGCATAGCAATTCAAAATAACAAGAGATACATATATTTCAAAATAAAAAGTTTTCCTTTACAGTGAATTCAACAAGCACCGACAATCCCAGTATCAAATTTCTTAAATCCACACGAAGTCTAAGTATAGATGATGACACGAAATTGCTGAAAACTATTTTCAAAAGTAGAATTAGCTTTAGAAGTCATGTTTAAGTTCAAGGTCTTTAAAGAGATTAATTATATTTTGAAAATAAAAAATCTACTTTAATCATGTTAATCAAGAACCAAAACAACACCTGTCAATAAGAAATAGGAAGAAAATGTAGGTCTCCAATTTATTCCAGAGAAGATAGATTTTCACAAATCTCTCTTGATTAAATTGTGTTTAAGTTCAACTTTCTACTGCAAACTGACAGTGAATCCTGATACTGTCTCCAGTTTCTTGTTACTATCTACAGCATTGTGCTGCTGGGTTATCTCCCTTAGTGGCTCTGTTTCCTACATAATCTACATGAGGAAACCAGCAAAGATCATAAACACAAACTTTTCTTCTCCAGTTCTATTTTTGGTTTTGAGATGTCTGGAAAGGATTTTTTGTATCATTTGGAGGCAGCTACATAATTAATATCAATCTCGATTGAATTACCATGGAAACAGAACAAATCTACTTCAAATGCTGGTTCTACCAAAATGCTTAACAGATGTGTAAGCAACACATATCAGAAACATACATATGAAAATATTGTAGAATTAGTATCATGTGTTATCTAAAACCCTTATCTATTTTATTTTTTTTATAGTTTTAGGTTAACTCTTCTTGTATTTAATATACATCAAGTGAAATACCTTTATCTGGAACACCAGGTTTAATTTTGAAAAGGAAAAAATATCTACTTGGATGAAAGTACTTGGTCCTTCTATACAAACATAAACAGAGACTCCTAACTGAAACACATCTGTGACATCATTCTATTGTTTAAGTGCTCCATTATGTTTCAGGAATGGACAGTTGATAGTTTTATCTGCCACTGTTGCATGTGCTCTGTTGTGATCTATACAAAGCATTGGACACTGTTCTTTAGAATGTTTAGGCAAAGTGTAGGGGTAGGGATGTGTTTAAGCAGGGTAATATCCGTTTAACTCTCCATTCCTGAAACATAATGGGCCTCGGCTCCATTATCTTTAAGGAAATGAGTGAGTTATGTTTAACGCCGCTTTTAACAGTATTCCAGTTATATCGCGGCATGTCAGCTTAATGTGGGAGGAAAGCCCAAAGTGATGTAGGTCTGACGTTTACCACTCTGGTGAAACCCAAGAGCACGGGTATGGTGCTGACAAACCTAGAAACATTATCAGGGCGAACTGGGATTCGAACCCACAATCATAGGTTTTTGGCATGCCCAAGGGACGCAACTCTGCACAGCTATTTTGGGCGCCTTAGACAAATGGGCTACCCGTGCCCCCTTAAGAAATTGAGAAGACCCCTTCTACATAATCTTTGACGCACGTACTCCCTGTTAATTTACTTACAAACATTTCCATTTCCACTATTCCATTTTAGCACACTCATGAACCATTTACTTTCACAAGCTTTTCTTTTTCAGTTTTATTCCAATCCTTATTTTACTATTTACATAATTTACTCATCTTAAACATCACATCAATTCTTCAAACTAGGACACAAATAATAAACAAGTGCATGCCTGACAGAAATAGACTTTGGCCAACTAAATTAAACACATCCAATGCAGAAACTGGCAGGACACACAGGTGCAGGGGGGGGTCAATCAAGCGTGACGACACCTAGGACAGACTTACATCCTCGTTCGTGGTTTGCTCTGAAGTGGTCAGATATGTGTGAAATCCAGCAAGACCAATAATTGACCACACTGAGAAGAAACATATAATAGCCTCCACAATGGTACACAGCGGTCAAGGAATCATAGTGTTACAGTGGAAATCAATAACATACAATCTTTTACTCTCATATGTACGATCTCTCTCTGCATGAAGACCTGACAAACCCGCCAGAGATTACATAAAGGACGCACTAGCACTGGTTCTTCAGGTAAGAGTTTTCAAAAACAATTGGGAGAGGGCGAGGAAGTAGGGAAGAAGGGAGGGAGGGAGGAAGGGAGGGAGGGGGGAGGTTTGTTTTTTTTATGTCCATACAAACAGCCAATTTAAGTTGTTGTTTTTTATATACATCAGAAGCCTTGATGCTGATTGGCTGAATAGAAAGTGGAGGGTTTGTATGATCTTCATGTAAAAAGACGGGGGATAAAATACCCTACATTTTTAACTAATAACCTTAGTTTTATGACAAGGACCCCCTTGTCTTTTCATGCTTAACACTGTCAGAGAAATATCAGATTCTAGTAAAACGTCTGATTTTAATTAGATTGAAAGAAAATGAAAGAACATTGGAAACATCTCACAAGTAACACGACTTGAAAATATCAAAGTATCTGTAAACTTGTAAAGTAACTTATATCAAAATGATGTCTTTTTAGAACACAAGTGATTTGTGACTACCTTCTTTATGATAGTAACCATGAATGCATATCAGACCATGGTCACACAAGTCTACTTAAACAGTGACCGTTTGGACACTGAAACCAATAAGAGCAGACAAGGTCAATAATACCCTTCCACTCTGACACGTTACTTGAGTATGTGCATCTTATATAGCTGTGTAATAAAGGAAGAGGTTAGACAAGACTATTTAGGAGCCAGAATAAAGACAATACCCTTAATCTTGATTTATTCTTATTATTACTGTATACACAGTTATATGCGACCTGAGCACTTAGAAAATTGACAGACAGAAAATTGACAGTCAGTGAGTGAGTAAGTGAGTATGGTTTTACGCCGCTTTTAGCAATATTCCAGCAAATATCACGGCGGGGGACACCAGAAATGAGCTTCACACATTGTACCCATGTCGGGAATCCAACTCCGTTCTTCTGCGTGACGAGCGAACGCTTTAACCACTAGGCTACTCGACCGCCCCAGAAAATTGACATATATTGAAACCATACACAAGAAGATAAATTTGTATTCCAAGATTGAGCGGTAGTTGACAAACGTTGTTGAAACAAATGAAACTAAAACAGTTTTGATAATAGTCACTGGGCAATAACATACTGATTTATCAGTTTCTGGGAGGGAGGGAATATAGTGTGTGAGTGGCTACGGTTTTATGCCACTTTCTGCAATATTTCAGCAATTTCACAGCAGGGAATCAAGAAATGGGCTTCACATATTGTACCCATGTGGGGAATCAAACCTTGTGCCATGACGAGTGAACACCTGAACAACTAGGCTACCCTACCACTGAGTCACCAGAGTTGCATGCTGTCACAATATCCCAACGATACCACAGTAGAGGATACCAGAATGGACATTCATTCCATGCGTGGAATCAAACCCAGGTCTTTGGCATGACAAGCAAACACCTTAACCACTAGGCTACCCCACAACACTGATGTCCATTGAAGCATTTATTAATATCCTTAACATGTTTGTTAATTGATGGAAATTGTTTACCTCAATGTCATTTTGAACAGAATTAAATCCAAATTTGGAACGTCCAGAAATATAATCCCTTTCAAAGCGATACTAGCCACATTTAGTTAACATGTCTCAACTCCTGATCAATCTCTGAGGGATGCTGATACAGAATATTTCATTATCCTGCACTATTCATATAGATTCTTTCTGGAATCCAGCCAAAACAGTGATGCGGAAGAGATACACAATTTTTACCATTATTGATTTTATGCTATTTAACTACACACTATCCTTCAAAATGCACAAACAAATTTAGAATGCTTGGTGTAAAAGTTATTCAGAGAGTGAAAGATCCAGCTTCTTAACTGAATTTGCAGACCATTAAAGTCCACATTTAAAAATGTATTTTCCAACAGTTATAAACTTTCCTATGATTAGTTTTTTGAACAGTCTGACCAAAAAACCCAATTAATTTTAACAAAATTTTGATAGAAGAGTTGAGCATCAATTTGCAATAAATCCTCTATGAGCTTTGATGTAATTCAAAAATTGTGTACTTTCATATACTGTCAAATCAAACATTAAAGGATGTTATTTTGACATTCTGATCAGCTTTCATTTCTTCTTACCCTATCCCAATAAAGCTCTAATTCATTGCTAACTGTGGATATGATGATATTGTTCAATGCCCGTACTATCATATCTACATTGTCACTATTCAACATGGTAAAGATTAGTTAACGTCTTTGATGGAATGATGATTTTTTCCAATCCTCTATCATGTAAAAATATATAGCAAAGAATTAATGAACTCAAGCACAGGGTAAATAGTGAGTGAGTGAGTTTGTTTTAACACCGCTTTGAACAATATTCCAGTTATATCACAGTTGTTGACTTAACTAGGAGGAAAGTCTTAAGTGATGCAGGTCTCAGACGATTACCACTCGTGTGAAACACACGAGTTTAGGTAGGGTGCTGACAAACCTAGAAACATAATGAGGGCGAACCAGGATTCGAATCCTCAACAATAGGTTTCTGGCATGCCAAAGTGACGCAACTCTGCACAGTGAATTGTGGCGCCTTAGAGGACGCAGCAACTGAGCCCCTGTGCAACATACACGGATGAATGTATCGACAGTAACTGTTAGTTCTAACACTGCCCTGTATAATATTTGCATTATGCAGAGTTCTAACACTGCCCTGAATAATATTTGCATTATGCAGAGTTCTAACACTGCCCTGAATAATATTTGCATTATGCAGAGTTCTAACACTGCCCAGTACAACGTTCCACATGACAATTTCCAATGGTCAGCAGCCATATTGTGAAAGGATATCTTGCTGGTGATTCTTTCATCGCATTGAGGAAGTTATCGTGCTGGGCTCCTGCAATGATAAGCAAACAAAACATAAACACACAGTTTGAAAATAAACAGTTTTCTAAGTCATGGTGGTCTCATCATACAGTTTGGAGCAGGCAAACCATTTATCATCAGTTTGGGATTCAACCATGCAATGAATGAGTCCGAAACAACACTAATGCAACCAGGTAACAGCTGAGAGTTGTTTTTTCTCCCGCACTGCATATGGTTAATGACGCATTAAGTTATATTCCAGCAATATCACAGTAGGGACATCAGTAATGAGACTCACCACATTGTACCCATGGGGAATCGAAACGTTATCTTTGACATGACAAGCAAACACATTAACCACTGGGCAACCCCACTACACCCTGATCCAAGTGAAAGTACTAGCTTTGATCAACACTTTCTCAGTTAAATAGAACCAGGTAAGTCTCGGCTGGTGGAAATATTCAAATCAAAGGCTCACTCACAACATTCTGTTGGAGTTCTCGACTGCACCAAGTGTCATGAAACGACTACAGGCAGAATCCAGCACCGCTAAGCTCTATCATTGACATCCCGATACCTTGACTGCTATTTATTTATTAATAAAACAATGTTTTCTACAGATTGAAAAAAAACCCTATTCTGATGTATCATACACATGAGTAGGCAAAAATCGATGTATCAAACATATACTTAATTACTTTTATCTGGAAGTTGGGTCTAGTAATTAGAAAGCCATGTGGAGCTGACTCTACAGCATATCGTGAGTCGCATTATACATCCTGCAGCAGTAAATACGTTTTGTTACTTCACTTTTCATTATTCTTCAAATGAAGTATCATCTTCCACATAGCTAATGATGAATATCCCCATGCCAGTCACTATTATTCTTTGCCACAGCACATTTTCACTCTTGAGTATGGAAGGTTCAAGGGGCTGAGGATGTACTGTACGTACTTTAGTTGAGTAGGAATATGCAGTGAAACAAAAATGCTGCGTAATTAACACCGCACTCAGCAATATTCTGGCTGTATCACTGCTGCTTGTAAATTAGCAAACAAGTGAGTGAAAGCATGAGCACCCATCCATGCTACTGGGGCATGCATGATGACACAGCACAGAGCCTGGCCTCTTGCTTCCTATTTCAGTCAGCTTTTACAGCAAACTTGAGGTTCTTGTGGCATCTCGTGACCTAGAGTCTCTACAGAAGGTAGTCAATAGACAACGTATTCCCCCTGTGCCCTCTGATGATACACAGGCATGGTTAGAAATTAACATTTGCCAACTAGCCTGAGGCTTGCACAAATTTCTGGAGGCTAGTACAAATTCCTGGGGGCAAGTACAAATTTCTGGGGGCTAGTACAAATTTCTGGGGGCTAGTACAAATTCCTGGGGGCAAGTACAAATTTCTGGGGGCTAGTACAAATTCCTGGGGGCTTGCACAAATTTCTGGGGGCTAGTACAAATTCCTGTGCGAAGTACAAATTCCTCGGGCTAGAACAAATTCCTCGGGCTAGTACAAATTCCTCGGGGCTAGTACAAATTCCTCGGGGCTAGTACAAATTCCTCGGGGCTAAAGTACTTATGGAAATGGAAAAAAACCGTTTTGCTGGATTTAATAATCGACACAAAGCATTATGTAGATGTAAATACGAAATAACAAAACAACTGGAAAAGTACTAGTCTGGATTTGCTAGTTTTATCTGAGTGCTCAATACAAAATGTACTTTACAGGAGGTAATTTGTAGGCACTTTCAACATTCAAAAGTAAAACTAAGTCCAAATTGACATGGCAGAAACAGGCTATAGGCATTATGCAAATTAGCCTGGAAAAAAGTTATGAAAACAACAATAAAAATAACTGCTATGTTTATGTACATAATAATAATGACATGTAAGTTGTTGTTCGAGAAGGGAATATGTTACTTTTACGTTCTGATATTTTGATGATGATTCACTATCCCACAATGTCACTCACAAATCACTAACCACTGACAAATCATATGCATGTGGGGTTCAAGCACCTGTTTTCACCTGTCGTCAAGGTGTCATAGGTCATGGACATTCACCTTGATCTACTAACACCTGGTTATGCTCAGTTTCACAATAGTCTGTTTTGTTCATATTTTTACACACTTTTACGAGTAAAAAGACATAAAAACCTTTGATACTTTGTATTTGTGCCAAGGCCCAATTAGTACTGATTGAGTTGTTTGAATATTTATATATTTTGTATATTAACTGCATTTATTTAAAATCTGAGATCGAAAAAACAGGTTTTTATCATTTCCGTGAGTACTTTAGTACAAATTTCCCAATTCTTTTATCATCATCACAAGGGCAATTTATCTTCACCCGGGCCAGTAAAACTTTGAGTTCAGTTCTAACCCTGACAGGGGAAGATATAAAGTTGTCAGCAGTGTACACCACTGTCCCACTTGTGCCCTTTGATGACACTGAGTGAGCAAGCAGGCGAGTGAGTGAGTTTGGTTTAATGTAGGGCTGGGACAAGTCCAAATTTACTACCCGGGTACTCGACACCCTATTACTCGACCTTACCTAGGTACCCAGTGTAGATCTCAAGCATTGGGTACAACATTTTTGAATGGAAATTGTTTTTCTGCAGCTCTGGCCCTCACCATTTTCATCCATGGAAACAACGATCAGATCATGCATACACTGAATTTCAGTGAAGCTTTATCTTTACTCAATCATATAAAAGTCAGTGGGAATACGTGAAGAGTCAGAAAGAAATGCGAACATTAGCAACTTGTAGAGTTTTATTACTATTGTCATTAAACAATATAAAACATGACCAACCATGGGTCCGGGTGTCCTGTGGGTACCCGGGTCCTACTAAGGAACCACCTGGACCGAGTACCTGAGTTATCTGTCCCAGCTCTCGTTAAATGGTGTATTGACAAGTATGTGAGTTCAGGAAAGCCTGAAGTGTTACAAGCCTTCACACTATTTGGTGATGACAGGTTTCAGGGCTGCCTAATTGCGCTGCCTTACCACGGTGTCACCCATGGCTCTGTGATACCCAGTGAAAACAGTGAATCCTACACCGACCGTTACTGTGTGAGTGATTCTTCTTCCTTCTTTCCAAAACCCATAGATATGACATCTCTAAGTAGCTGTTTAGAAGCTGTAGTATCAATGAAGACAGAGTTGACTAATGGATTTGCAACACCATTATTATTTCAATGTCGATATATCACATACTCGTAAGTCCACTGTCTCTGCTGACGTGACACCCTAAACCGCATTAGTCATATCAAGGTATTAATCTGGGTCGACAGGACCAGCTTACAAGATTCCAATCGTTTGGTTGAATTTGACTTCTTAATGGCAGAATACTTGATACTTGATAACCAGTTTTAGAAACTGAGGGGGCCTTGTGCAGTAATTAATTTGATGGAACCCTAAAATCTCTTAATTACATTCTGGTTGTGACAAGGAACCATTGTCTTTCTATATAATTTTGAACAATGATAACCATTATCAATTATTGTTTGGATTCATATTTGAAGAACACCTCCAGCTGGTAGAATAATTAAATAGAACTGGACAGCTTACTGAACATATTTGAGGTTATGAGTCTGTGACAAATGTCACAGTGAGTGAGTGAGTGAGGTTTTACGCCGCTTCCAGAAATATTCCACCAATATCATGGCGGGGAACACCAGAAATGGGCTTCACACACTGTACCCATGTCGGGAATCGAACCCGGGTCTTTGGCGTGCCGAGTGAACCCTTTAACCACTAGGTTACTCGACAGCCCTATACGGTCACAGAGACAGGAAGATGGCAGCTTTCTATCCAACTAATTTTGACCTGTTACTCCTCCTGGAGTCAAGGGCCTCTGAGTCATACAAGTAGTCCTATGATAAAACATCTAAGAAGCAGATAGGAAGACACATCAAATGTCCATTAACTTCAAGCTTAGGACTGTATCAGCACTAATACAAGAACTTGTAACAGACGCTCAAACCACATACCACCATGTCAACTCAATATTTCCTCAAACAACTATTTCTTTGACAAAAAACGTTTCAATTGGCTACGGGAAGAGCCTGCACTTGAGTCAGTTTGTAAGACATTAGCGAGACGACTGCTTCCCTTCAGTGAGCGACATCTCAATTTGTCTACCCATTGCATGCAATCAATGGTATTTGGAATGCAAGACAGGTCACAATGCCGGTTCACTATCACACTGGCAGTCACTAAACAGGTTAAATAGCTTCCCCAGGCTTCATTATAATAGTTACAATTGAATTTCTGCTTGTTCGGCAACTGGAGAAGGACAGCAGTTTGTAGATGACGCATCCTGTGAGGGAGGCATATTGTGATGTCAGGCTACACAGTGAATGACGCACATCGTGGTTCCTCCATCCCCCGCAGCATCGTCAACAGACTCGAGGACCTATCCATCTGGAATCACTAGATCAATACCAATGGCCCATCCTCATACCATGCTATCAGCCATTCAGTGTTCCACAGGAAGATGGTGCATGGATAGAGTGGCTGTGTGACCAGAGAGTCTGGGACAGGAAATGGCATACAGTTGGGCAGAGGTGTGCATGTTTGGGAGCACTAGAACAACATCTATATTGTGTTAGCTGTACAGAGGGAGCACTCCGCTGGATGTTGCTGCCATCAATCAGGTTACCACCTCCACAATCAATACTGGACCGTAAGAGTAAACCAGAGCTTTAGCTCGGGCAGAAAACAACTGAAGCTCAGGAGACACCAAACATAGGCTCAAGAAAGTTATCATACCAGCAATCAACCACGATCCTAGGTGTAACATATGAAACATTTATTCAGTACTCTACTCCCCTTTCAAATCATAATGTCACATTTCCTTAATCTCATGCTGCTGCTGGTTTCAACAAATAAACAAATCTCCACAAACAATATAAAAAAACAGACCAAACACCATATCCTTATCCTAAAATATAACTCCCAATAAAGCCAGTTTCTCGGATTCATTTTTCTCTTTAAAAAAAATAAATATATAAAGTGTTTTAA